CTACAAAATGAATTTCAAAGTCTTGCAGTTAAACCACCAATACTTGGGATCCTTTCTCCACCTTCTATGGGCCTCTGCCCGCCTCTGAATTTAACCGGATGCAGGCTATGGTAGCCTGTACATCCTCACCAGGCCGGCACATGTATGGGCACACCTTTTGGAAGCACTGGTGGTTGAATGCCAGTAATTGCTTGAGAGGAATTCTATTTTTATGTAAGTGCTCATAGATCAAATGTAAGTTGGTAGTTCTCACTCTATACCTCTGAAAACTTCGGCTAGGTTGATTTGATTTGCCGATTTGTCATTGCCCTCCCTTGTCACTACATTTGGAACTCTGGTGGCTCGTACTATGTGGAAAATTCCTTTAGTTACATTGATTGGCCTCCTTTAGTTACATTGTTTGGCCTTATAGAAGTGCAGGACAGTGTGAGATAGGCTCAGACGGGATCGATGGAGCCACTCCTATGATGCAAGGAATTATGGAGTGCACCCAGGTCGCAGATCTCGATTGCAGGCCGGCTGTCGCATACTTATCCATCTCAGGTAGGTATGGCGCAGGACCAAGGAGTCCCGATTATGCAGCAGAAGACGGAAAGTGCACAGATCTGACTCAATCAGACTGGACATTACCCAAGCTCAGCAGCATGCTGTCGAAGGGGATAGAGGATGCCGCCTGACCTCACATCCATGGCGAGAATGCTGCCCGACCTCACACCTGTGGCAAGATCATCACACTGACGAAGGGAATAGGGGGATGAGATGAAGGGGCGAGGAAGAACTCAAAATAGTCGGCAACAGAAATAGTTTCCCCGGAAGTCTCGGTCCACCTGTCATGTCCAAGTCTGGGCACCACCCACAACAATAGTCACCCAAGTCTCTCTCTCTCTCTCTCGCGCGCGCGCGCGCGCGAGCGCGCGCACACACACACACACACACACATCTCTTGGAGAAGTAGAAGTCAGATGTGGGAGGGTAGAGCAAAAGAAGGGAAGAAGAAGAAGAAGAAGAAGAAGAAGAAGAAGAAGAAGAAGAAGAAGAAGGTGGACCTCTCTCTTCGAACTCTCTCTCAGCGGGAGATAGCACGGACTGGTGAAAGGTATCATCTCGAGCTGGCTGATACTGCAGGCGGTCTTTCGGCCAGTGATGGTGACCAGGCGATGGCACGGCAGGTGAGTCGTCCATCTCCCGGCATTCCCTGTCCCTGCTCCGCTATCTCCTAACTGCAGTCCGAACCCAATGCAAATCTCCTCGAATGCTCTGCTCGCTGCTCAGGCAGCATAGTGCTGTGCCGAGGTCTAAACGCTGCATGCCTAACTGATGCTGGACCGAGCTATAAATAGTGTGGGGTCTACCAGTCCTAGAGGCGGCCTGGATCCAGGGCTGCCCGTCTAACGAATGATCGACAGTGCTGGATGCAAGCTGGGAAACTGTTCCAGCCACTGGTCCTGAAAAACGCAGCTTCCCCAGTGCTGCAAGCTGAAGGCGTAAGTGCGGCTGCTGGACCTACAGAAATCGGCCTGCACCAGAACCGGTCCAAACGACACATCTGGACTCAGACAACTGGTCTGAAGTAAGAAGAGGCAAACCAACGCTCTGCAAACAAGCAGACCCAAAAAAGAATGCCTGACGGGCCACTGTGGGGGCAAAGAATGCCACCATGGCTCTCTCCAACTCTGGCACATGATCTCAAGTCGGCCCAGGCCAAGGGCGGGAGCTACACGTGCGTGGTATGCCTAGTGATAGGTGATGCCTGAAATCAGCATGCGAAAGCCTGACGAACGGCTTAAACAAAGCAGAAGGTAAGGTTAGGATAAGGGACTTGATATGTGAAGCCAGTCCGATTGAGGGGCCTTCGTCTTCTTATACTTTCGGTGCCAGACCTGATTTCCGAGTGCCTTGCCTTGTCTTTCTGGCCAGAAGGCGGAGTCATTTTCCAACTACCAAAAGAGTCCCACTGTCAAGGAAAAGTCAAAGCATGTGGAGAAATATATTCTATGGACTCGTGGAGGTCGTCCTCTGCAAGCACAACCACATTCTTAGCCTCGCTTGGCTTCACAGATCTTTTTGGCTGAAAAAGGAAAATGAAGAGTACCATGCCAGCTCTTTTTCGAGTTGGAGTGCAGGAGAAATCCGCCACGAGAAATAGAGGCTTGGGCGTGGTGCTGGTTTGAACCTTATCTCAACATTTGCGTGGGACTGTGCCCTCACCTCGTATTGGTTGAATTTATAAACATAAGACCTGATCTTTAGCTTTCAATTTCAAATTTTGTCTCTTTGGTCCGATCCACCACTTTTCTGCGCCACTGCACTGCAGACACTGCGTGGCACAGGTGTTGCTTCATCTCTCTTTAACCAGTGAAGTGCGCTCTCTGCAAGCGCCTTGTGCAGTTGAGCCAAATCCATCTACACTTGAGCAGATGCTACAAAGTCTTCCGGCTTTTCATACCTTCAAGGAACTTCCAGCCATCAAGTCCGTTATTACCAGATGGGAAAATAGGTTAGTTGGTTAGTGCTGGTCTGTCACGTTAGAAGTCGCGGGTTCAATCCTCATTTTTTCACGGGAGGTATGGCTGACTGTTCGGTAAGTATTGTGCATAGGCACTAGGAAATGTACTCTGTTATGTCCTTGATCAAGACGCGGAGCTGAAGAGCAAAGTAAAATGAAGAGCACCTTAAACCACCCCCTTGACGATCCTGGAAACAGCCTGTGTGCGTGTCGGAGAAAAATGGCTGGGGTTTCCCAGCCAAAGAGTAAAACAGGGGGCTTGCATGCAGCTGCAACTTTCGGGGCTCGGCCTCTGGAGCAGAATGGTTGGTGGACCAGCCAAAAGGAGGCCCGTGGCCGTTTTCAGCCCTGAATCGCCTCAGAGGTACTGGTGGTTTAAGTTTTCCAAGCTATCCTGTGGGGACGGCATCCTCACGCCGGGGCTTTCCTCTCTGTACCTAACTTGATCGGCCCCAAACCTCAAACTCAGCTGGAAGTTGGAACAGGTGTCAGCGTATGGGAGAGCTGAAAGCAATCCCTTGATTTATTCTGTTTGGTTACATCCGCTAAAACTAGAACGAAACAGGGAAGATTAGAAAGAAAAGCAAAACAGTTTTTCTTTTTTTTGCAGATAATCAGCGCTGGAGTGTCCTGGTGAGGAAACGGGCGGTAGTCCACGCAGAGCTTCACAACCTCCCCATCATGAGTTGATCTGCAAGTCGGAGATCAGCAGTCTGATGTGCAAGGTGATAATTGGATGTGGATTCAGGTCCTAGGTAGAGCTGAACATAAGGAGGAGACAAGTGCAGAGCTATGTCCTGCAGCATATGACCTCTGTGTTGAAATAGTGCATTGAGATGTGGTGCTCTGGTGAGCGGTGATGATGATGGTGGCTGTGGCTGTAGCGCCGTGAACAGTATGAAGGGGGGCCTTGAATGCAGTTGTATCTTACAAGTGTCAGAGGCAAGCTGAGACTGTCACATCCAGCTGTGTCATGAGAATAGGGTTTTGAGAATCTGCGTACGCTCCGGGTAGGTTGGTATGAGGCGCGCGGATCTCCTTACTTTCGCCTGATTGCCAGGAGAACGGTATGTGGCCTGCGAGATTCGATGAGCGAGAGCTTTGTTGTACGAGCTATTGGAGAAGATGATTTGGCTCGTTCCCCTTCTCGATCTTCCCTACGATCTTGGGGCAGAGTATCTTGCTCATAGCAGGCCATGATGGGTAAGTCTGATCAATTGTCACTCCATGGTTTACAGCACGTAACTCTTCTGAGTACTGCTGTGCACAGAGGAGGAACCCAAGTTAGGAGGGTGTAAATGTACCACATTGTCGTTCATTGGCATTAGACAAGGCCGGTCCGGGTTCAATATACCAGCGCCTTTCTACTCCCACTGAAGGTCCGCTTAATGCTTGTATGCCGATAGTGCAGTGCGCCAGCTGTTCTTCCTGATTTGCATTTTCTTATTGTGGTGGTTGTTTAACTCGGTACCCGAACTTGATCAATCAGTAGGATAGTTCCATCAGACGGGATTGATCTTGAGGAGAGCCTGGATTGGGCATGTGAAGGGCCTGACTGGAAAAGGGACCATGCCAGTATGGCTTCAGCAGCAGTGGAGTTGGTTCTGTCCTTGGCGTAGGTTTCTCTGCTCTACATGTTTACAACGTTTATATCGAATTATATGTAGGATTGTACTAGTATTCTGGTTTTAGCAGCAGTGGAGTTGTAACCGATCTGCTCGTAGGTTCCTCGGTTGTAGTTTGTTTTTCAGATGGTTTTTGTGATGTTTATATGCAGATTTGTACCATCTGCAGAGGAAGGCGGTTTTTTTTGTGGGTGCTGCCTATGTCTTTTACCCCAGATTGTGAAACTATTGCGAGATGAAGCTCCACAAGGAAGGGGCTTGGCATCGTTTCCAAGTGCAGTGGCGTACTGCAGTCGGGATGGGTTTCGTATTAGAAGTTTAGGAACCCGTGAAAGGGCAGCTGTTAATCCACTGTTGTCAGTGTCCATCAATGGGGACCAAGTGAAGTGGATTAGTGGCTGTAGGCGTGCCAACTTCACCGTTAACATGGGCGGGATCCATTTGCCAGTTGTGACCAGCTTGAATCCCTCTGAAGGGTCTCATCTCTGCCAAAAGCGGGTGGGGCCGTTCTACTCTATTCATGGCAGAAGAGAGTCCATGGCAGGCTGGAAGTCTGTTTTGTGTGCCTTTTGACACCACCTCAGATCATGGCTTCCCCTTTTCTTTCATACTGCATGTAGCAGTTTCATGTTTTTTTTCTCTATGTTCTCCGCATCTTCATGGCACACTTCCTTTGGTGCTGCTACTACTCTGCAGTTGCAGTTCAATCTCTTATATGTCTCGGAGCATTCATTTCGGCAAGCGTTTGTCGAATAGTCTCTTCCTCCTCCTCCTCCTCCTCCTCCTCCTCCATCTCTTCTTCCTTATCCCTTTCTCTTCATGGTGGACTTACAGTCGACATGTGCTCCTTGTTGTTTGATGGCTTTCAGCCATGTGCGGCCTCTTTGCAGGAACGGTGGACCCCAACAGCTGTGGCTTCAGCATCTATCAGTGTGCACTCAGCTTCCCACCGGTGAAATGATGGCATGCCGACATCATCTTTGCCTGTGCTCCAGTGATTACTTATTGTCTTGCATCATAACGCCTTAAAATCTTCAGGAGGTCTGCAAACGCTTCACGGGGTATAACCTGTGCAATGTTGGGTTGCAAGGTGGATTTGATGCCTGGTCTCCCAGAGTGATGGCTCTATTTCTGCCCATACTGCCAGTTATCCATCCCTCTTCTTTGTGAGGTCAGGGCTTCTTTCTGGGCGAACCACCCATGCGGCCACACGTTTATGGTATCTTGCGAGCAGACGGCACAGTGCGGGTATTTTGGCAAGAATATCTTGTGTAGTGTACACTGATTTCGGTCTTCGTCGGGCAGGAATATCTTCTGTAGTGTACGCTGATCTCGGTCTTCGTCTCTTTCACTGCATATCAGGAGCGGGAAAAGGGCGGAACTGTTTTCTACAATGCGGTGGGTAGCTGCTTTGTGACGCAGCATGCATGCCGCGACTAGTTCAATGAATGACAGGCATATGTTCCTCGGCAAGTTCTTGTGGCAGCCTTGTCTCTGTGCGCTTTCGGAAGGAGTTTCTGCCATCTCCTTCGTGGTAGTGCCAGACAGAGTAAGGACATTGCGGCATGCTTGTTTCGTGCAAATATGGCGAGTTGGCTGCACAATGCCCCGTAGGATCATGCCAGACACATTGAGGGCATTGCGGCATATGCTTGTTCGGCGAAATATGGCGAGTTGGCTGAGCAATGCCTTGCAGGATGCCTTGCGGGATGTATACCAACTTTTGTGAAGGGTGTACGTTCTTATGTGGCAGTCTTCTGTGACATGTGGCAGTCATGTCCAGGATGCATATCAAGTTCTATGAAGAGCATGCATTCGAAATGGGCAGCACGTGTGGCTTAGTGTCCGAATGCATGCTTTTGGAAAAGGCTCTTCTACTGGCTTTGTGCTGGTAGTGTAGTGTCAACCGCATCTTGAGCATCAATGCATGCTAGTTATTCACTTCATGGTAGAGTTAGACCATGGCAGCTATTACCGCGCGTGCAGTGGCACCATGGCACGTGTGTTGAAGAGCAGGTTTAATCAGACTCTTCTGTTTCCCTGATAGCAGTTGTAGCGCAGAATGAGATGAAGTTGGGTTTCTCCATATCCTTGGCTGTCCTTTGCAACCAGTAGAAGCCCATAAGCCCTGTCCACGCCTTGTGAAACTGTCACGAGGGGCATCCTGCCATCTTGCATTCGTGCTTTGCGATGTATTCGTTAGTAATATGCGAGAGTGTTGATGCTACACACTCGTGAATATACTGTATTTTAGTTATGATTCTCTCTTGCACCTGCTTCGCTTTCTTGCGAGCAAACATCAGTTAGACAGTTGGCAGCAACGCCTAGGCAAACAGCGCGCTTAGACTGGTGGCACAATGGTCAGTGATTTCCCCCATATGTCTGCTGTGACTGGGTCTTGGACCCAGATGGAAAAGTGCTTCTCCATCCAACCTGACCTTGTTCTTCTGATAGATGTCGGAACACAGTGCATTTGTCTGGCACGGGTCAGTGACTGGCAGCATATTAACCACACATCAAAGGCTGGATAATAGCGTCGGGGCCTTTTTGAAAGTGCCACAGCAGACATTGAACAAACTCACTGACCGGGCTCTGCTCATTTGGGGAATAGTAGTCCAGCTCCTTTGTCGGAACCCAAATGTCTTTCTGTGTCCATGTGCTGCTGTGTCTGAAGTCGGCATAAGTGTGGCTTCGGGCAATGGTTGGTGCGCGCACCTCAACTTTTTGCAGTACTGTCTCATCATCACACACATTTGGAAGCACTGCGAGCTCTCAACTCCTGGGTGAACTGCTCTCAGACCCTGCCTGATGCTCCTGGGAAGACATCTGGGTTCGGTAGACGAGCAATGGGTCGGGTTCCCACCTGGGCATATATGAGAGCTCGCAGCCTGTGGGAAATCCATGGGGTAGTCGTAGGATACCCTTCCTGGAAGTCTCAACCGGTCTGAATGAATGGCGCTCAAGTCTGCAATCTTCTCGTCTGACAGCAACATGGTGACGGCAACATGTTTGACCACGACGGCCAGTCCTAGTGTCAAGAGCAAGCACTGGAATAACGAAGCGGGGACCTTGGTTATTTGTCGAAACGACAAACGGTAGCCCTCACTCTGGTTCTAGGTCAGTCAAATCCAGCGTCGTCTTCGTATGCTCGGTTCCGTTCCGAGTGGCTGTGATGGTGATGCGGCCGAGTTGACAAGGTCTGTTTGCCTGCAGGCCTTCACCTTCGCTCTCAAATTCTCTCTCTCTCTCTCTCCCAAGAGAATGAATGCCCTTCGTCCCCCCTTATACCTTGTTTGCGGTCTGTGTAGTCTATGGAGTTGCTTGTCCATGCTCCTGGCGGAGTGATCTCAATAACAACAATTGGTTTACCAGTGTGTGGGCTAACAGGTGTGAGCTAAATGAAGAAAAGAGTGCCACCTTGGCTTTTTGGTTCTTGGGAGTCTTGGGACTGATTGGATGCCTGATTTGTCTGTCATGTGCCAAACACAGGAGGGTTAGGGTGCTATGTGTGCTGTTTTGCGAAATGTTCCTTTTGGTTATGCTGGTAGTATCTTGCTTTCCATATCCAGAAAGAGCATACGTACCAGGATGCTGCTCAAGAGTCCTGTAGGCTGTGGATGTGTCATTTACTAATGGTTATCGTGATTCTTTGTCACATGTTGTGCTGGGAAGTCTATGATGTGCCTGAGTCTTCTACTCTTTAGTTAAGGTCATCATTGTTTGCCACAGGGTGTGCATGGAAGGGGAAGGATGACCTTTGCCGGATAGGCAAGGGTCGAGTATGTTCTCCAGTGGGAGAAAACCATGAGGAACACGCACTGGATGTTGTTACACAGCAGGCTTTTGTTGCGTTTTGACTTTTGAAGTTGTGCCTTTAAGCGATCGGGCCATAGAGAGTCCGGGGTCACAACGATTTATTAAATTATTTATCGTTATACAGCTTTTTTATACTGCTACCTTGAACTGTAGGCCTCTGCATGTCCTTTAGGTCTTTAGTCTTGTGGATGCATAGACGTAAGAATGTTAGGCACGTCCACTAGGGGTAGGCGGATTGACATCTGTCGTACTACGGTAGTGCATTGGGGATAGCTGGGGCATTATTAGGGATAAGCTTGCCTGTGTATGTGAAGGCGCTAAGTTGACCACGGGCCAAGCCTGGCTACTAGGAGTCACCTTTTCTATATTTTTATAATTTATTATTATTATTATTATATTAATAATATTATCATAATAAAAGAGCAAATACCTTCACAGCTTGTCAGATTCTATTAAACCACCAGTACTTGGCCCAGCTATCGGCTGCGGGAAAAAAAATAAGAGTAGAAACGTTTCTAGTCGGATGAACGTGGATGCTGCTGTAGTGGCCCGTATGTTTCCTAAAATTGTGGCTAGCTAACGTGCACAATTTAGGGAAGTACTTGTGCGTTTTTTTAATCAACACCATCCGTAACCTGTTTTAACGGATGGTGTTGATTAAAAAAGAACTAGTGCTTCCTAAAATTTAGGAAGCACTAGTGCTTTTACCGCGCTGGCATTCGAACACACTTTGGGAAAAAGCCTGAGTTCAGGTGTCAGTGCCATGCCCACTGCAGCCAGACTGATCCTTAGCTGGATACAGCCTCTGAATACTTTTTCTCCGTCATTCAGTGTAGTCCCAGATGGGTCAGTGAGGGGAAACACAGCTGTACAGCTGTACAGCTGGGCCTGGAGGGCTGGAGGTGAAACAGATAAATGGCTGAACAGTTGAGACGTAGAAGCCATTCTAAACAGGGTGAGATTGTAATGCAGGTGGCATGCTCATGTGATGACAAAGATTTTTGTGTGCCTAACCCCATAGGATTCTGCAGTATGCAGTGGTTTTCTCTTCCGTTTAGGCAGTTACACAAGCTGCAGTTCTTGATGATTGCACATGAACCACAGTCTTCGTCCTCTCTGCGATAGCACCTTAAGCGGGAGGTTCTTCCTTAGTACTTTCGCCACCATAAAGGTCGTGCCATGCCGGCTGCTCTTGCCCGGTTCTTGGGAAAGTCTTCTCTCAACGTGAGAACTCGACAGCGCCTTCCAAATCAAAGGGCCCCTTCTTGCTGTTGGGTAGTTCTTTTGATGGTCAGATCCGCCGGTAGAAAGTGGGCATCTGAATTTTGACTAATTTTGTACGCATAGGTAATAGTAGCCTGGCATTGCACCTGACGTTCAACTCAGACGGGCCTTCATTCAAACTTTGACAAATCATTTGCTGTCACCCTCGCAAGGTTTCATTATCTTGCCTCCTTTGCATCTTTGAGTTGTCAGTGCTAACCTATGTTAGTGTGTGCGTTGGGGGGGGGAGAGAGAGAGAGAGAGAGAGAGAGAGAGAGAGAGAGAGAGAGAGAGAGTATCATGCCTCCTTTGCATCTTTGAGTTGTCAGTGCTAACCTATGTGTGTGTGTGCGGGGGGGGGGGGGGGAGAGAGAGAGAGAGAGAGAGAGAGAGAGAGAGAGAGAGAGAGAGAGAGAGAGAGAGAGAGAAGGGAATGGTGACTGCCCAACCTTCTGCCTCCATGGAGGTGGGTTTTGTGATCCGGTACGGGAGACCTTTTTCGGATAAGAGCTTGACAGGGTGTATGTAGGTTGGTGTAGCAATCCTCTGTGAGAAACCTCTTGCGTGTGTTGGTGTCTGGAACACCGGAGGAGTGTGGAAATGCAGAGGAGCATTTTGAGAATACGAGATGATTCCATGGGGTCGCCTATGAACGTCTTTTGTTTCTTTTTTCTAAATAAACTCAGCTTGTACTCGTAGCTACGTTCTATTCTAGGCAGTTTCGTTCCGGTTCATTTTCCACTGGCAGGCCTTTTCCACTGCCAGGTCATGATTGAAAGCATGGATGGTGGATTGCCTCTCTAAGGAGGAGGATTGACTACCAACCTGAGGGTAGTTGAAATTTTGCAGTCCACAGTTCTTCTGTTTCCCTACATTCAGTAGATGACCTTCCATTTCCTGCGCTCTGGGTGTTTCTCCTCTGCCAATTGATTTGGCCGAGGGAAGTTTGGAAATGTATCCTTTGTACTTCTCTTCAGTCTCCATACGCCAGCTGTTCCTTCGTTGATCTCTTCAGGGTCACTAAGGAATATGCAAGATATTGTAGTTACCTGACTGATCGGCGGTGCCAATTGCTCGGCGGTGCCAATTGCTCGGCGGTGCCGATTGATCGGTGGTGCCAATTGATTGGTGGTGCGTATGTATCACTAGAACTGCCTAGGGATCGGCGTATAACGAGAACTTCTTTTTGCAGCAGTTCTCGTGATACGCCGATCCCTAGGCAGATCGGTGGTGCTGCAGGGACCAGCTTAGCCTGTGAGGATGGTGTCAGACTTTGCCACTTGTTCGCTTGTGGTTGCGCATCCAGATCTGTGATGCCACATGGACCTGCTTGGGCTGTGTTTGCCACTTTTTGCTTAGTTGTCTCAACTTGTTGGGGCGGTCAGTGGTTTGTGTCAGATATGCGATATGCTGGTGCCTCAGGCGCTCTCCGAGAGAGCCCTTTCTGAACGCCAGATGGCGCTCTGACTTGTGCTAGATGGCCGGAGTGCTCGCTCCTAAACCGGAAAGGATTTGAACTCTAGATATGCAGGCATTAGTGCTTTCGCACCTGGGCCCATTTTCCCATCGAGGACGATTATGCGCTCGTAATGATGGGCAGCTTAGCCCCATGTAAAAGCAGCGGTCAAAGTTCCGCCTCAAACAGGTTTCTACGCGGAAAAGTGGTTGTGTATTATGCACATCACAAAGTGCGACTGCTAGCTCGTATAGAGTTTGGAGATGAGATTCAAAATAGTAAAATACCCTTTGTGTGCTTATCAAGGTATACGTCTCTGTGGTCATAAGGCCGTGCTATATGCCGGTGCTTGCTGTCGACCTCGGATGTGGGGCCACAGTTTGCGGACAGGTGATTGTGGATGGGACTGCCAAAATTTTTAATGCTTGACGTACATTTAGCCATGGATTAGGAATGGCATGATGCAGGGATCTACCGTCTTCCCCCGAACATAACGCACCCTAAAAATGAATGTATACAAGGTATGTTTCTGGCCAGATACAGCTAAAATAAGGGTGCGTTGTGTTCGGGGGAAGACGGTATGATGCAGGGATCTAGAGGGTGTGCTTGGAGCCAGTGAATCCTCCTTGCTAAAAATAGACCCCGTGTAGTACGGGCTACTGTGGGAGTAGTCTACTCTGGTAGTATGTATGCGCCATAGTGCGGCTCCCACACACAATTCGCTGTAAAGAGGGGAATGTTCAATGTTCCAGAAAAGGTCTTTTTTTTTTCTTTTTTTTTTTTTTGTTGAAGTTCTTCAAAACCTATGTGTGATAGAAATCACCGCGAACATCATTCTAAAGAATCTAAACAGCTTTCGGCTGAGACGCCTTTTGAAAATTTTGTTGGTGATTAAAAATCAACCCCAAAAATTACGAAAAACCTAGGCTACCAGCCGGGCCGCCCGGGTCCCGGGTGGCCAGCCCGTGCAAGAACTCCCAGCAAAAAAATAAAATAAAATAAAAATCCAAAAAATCCGAAAAAAAACTATGTTATGCAGAAAAATAAACTGAACAACTTTTGCCTCAGGGTCACATCGAAATTCTTTACCAATTTTTAAATAAAAATAAAATTTTAAAAATATTATTTTTATTTTTATTTATTTTTAATTTTTTTGGCCCGGCCGGGGAAGTGACCCCGGCCACTCTGGTAGCCTAGCGAAAAACGGATTCATAAAACAATCCAGTACAAAAAGAAAGACACCTCTGTACTACTGGGGTTTAATCCCGTACCCAAAAAAGAGAAAAAAGGACGACCTCCGTACTATGGGGGTGTACTGGTGTTGCACTACCGTATTAGTGTACAATCCGTACTGAACGATGTGCTGCTTGGAGCTGTCCAAATGAAGTACTGTAACATCTGGATCGGGTTTAGGACACTGTCTTGGTCACCCTCTAGGTCACTGGTTTGGTCGGTGACCTAGGTTTACTTAGGTCGCCGTCTAGCTTAGGTCAACACCTAGGTTAGGTCACCGGATAGCTCACCACCTAGGTTAGGTCACTGGTTAGGTCACCACCTAGGTTAGCCACTGGTTACACTGGTTAGGTCCACCACCTAGGTTAGGCCATCAACTAGGCTAGATTCCTGGCTAGGTTAGGTCCCCACCTATGCTGGGTTCCCAGCTAGGTTAGGTGTCCACCTAGATTAGGTTAGGCCACTGATTAGGTCACCGCCTAGGCTAGGTCCCCAGCCAGGCTAGGTCCCACCTAGGTTAGGTCACCACCTAGGCTAGGTCCCCACCTAGGTTAGGTCACCAAGTTGGCTAGGTCCCCACCTATACTAGGTCCCCAGCTAGGTTAGGTCTCCACCTAGATTAGGTTAGGTCACCACCTAGGTTAGGTCATCACCTAGGATAGGCCACTGGTTAGGTCACGGCCTAGGCTAGGTCCCCAGCTAGGCTAGGTCCTCCCCAGCTAGGTTAGGTCCGCACCTAACTTGGTCATCACCTAGGTTAATTCACTGGTTAGTTCACCAGCTAGGTTAGGTCACTGGTAAGGTCACCACCTAGTTTACCATTTAGATTCCGTCAGGAGAGGCCCACTGTAGCAATGACCGCTTTTCTGTGTTTGCTTGCAATTAGTTGTTTGTGGCTGGTGTGGCTGAACGGTACACAAGCTTTATCTTCTGACAAACGGATCATGGGTTCAAAGCGTGGGCTCAAATCGTTACCATACAGTTACTCTAGTTGGAAGCAGAGTTACAGCAGGTCTTGGTTATCCGGTCACAATCCTCTTCACCTGTCTACATGCATTTGGATGCTTTTTGGACCCGATACCTTCAGAATGTTGAATTCGTCTGAATGCACCTGGTCTGGAGAGCATCCAAATGCGTGTAGAGTATTACGTAGTGGAGCGAGGCCCATTATCAGCATACGTCAGTTTACTTCTTCGTTTTGACAGTTTAAACCACCCAGTACATTTCCCAGTCATTGTTTCAAAGTTTCGGTTTGCATGGTTGTCGGGGCTCGGACGCGGACTCCCGCTCCGGATCATTCTTCTTTTGGCGAGGAGCCCGTTACCTTCTCCAGCGAAAAGTGCCTTGGAAGTACTGGCGGCTTAATGAGAGGGTTCTCTCGTTACTTCACTATATGACCGGTGTCTGCGATTCCTTGCTCTCCCACGCTCTATGGTACAGTTTCTTACCTTATCATCGATGATTCCTGGTTTGTACGACAGGCATGTACAGCAGACCTGCGAAGAGGGTATTCATCTTTAACTTAAGAAATCAAGGATATATATATACATATATATATTTGTGACGATATATAATATAATATATATATATAACAAGTCGCCGATGAAGACAATTCTAAAGATTAAGAGAATTACGGTCCTCTTTTACAGACTAACAACATTATATAGCTCAGTTGGTACACACCTGAACTGTTGAAGTACAGACCCAAGTTCGAACTCCACTGGAAGCCGAGAAGTAAAATACTACTATTCTGAATTACCTAGGGCGGGTCAGTTCTATGATGATATCTCAAGGCCGTCGCCCTTTAAGAAAAAAGGCAGTTCTGTTTGACGATGTAGGGTTCAGCCTCCTCGTGAGTCAGTGAAACTCCGACGAAACGGTTTGTCATAGCCCCTCGTTTGTTGTCCTCTTCTCCCTTTTGTCCCTCTCTGCCTCCGCTTTACCGTAGGCAGCTCTGTTTGACGATATATCGGTCAGTATCATTCAATGAAGTCATTGTCAGAATGTGATGGAGCAGTACGCCACAGTACATCACGGAAATGTTTCAGCGTAACACAACAAAACAGAACATAACTTGATATAATGGAACAGAATGGATTACAGGAGCATAATCAAACCTTATGGATCAGTATGTCTCTTGGCAAAGACTGGACTGGAATGGGTGACTCGTATGCCCTTTTGTGCGATGGTGTCTTTCGAAGACCGAGGAGGTAGGCAGGATGGACTTTACGGTAGGCAGGATGGACTTTACGTGCGTTGCACTGCGTTGAGTTTAGGTGAGGGGCATGTACTGAAAAGGGGCCCCGGTGGGGGGGCAGGGCGGGGGTTGAGGGTTGTGGAGACTAGGCTGCATTCCCAGATGGAATGACTGATCTAGTAGGTTCCCTGCAGAAATAGCGTGCATGACCATGGATTCCGAGTGGATGCCGGATAAATGGTTTGATGTGAATTGGGAGAGCTAACTATGGTGTACTGATTCAATAAGCCGAATGGCCATTGGCGTAGGCCCTCTACTGGTGCTCTCTGGGTTTTGCCTTTCGCGAGGGTTGTTGGGATTGATGCCTCGCACGGGCTCCTCCATCAGGATGTGAAGTAAGGTTGGTTGTGTGATTTTTTTTTTCTTTTCTTGAGATCAATTGCTCCCCCAAAAGACCTGAAGTCAGATTGCATTCCCGATCTGAGTTTTACTCGCTTTGCGGATTCGTTCACGTGTCTGTAGGCCAGCGGTTGGTTCGTGCGGGACATGGCAGTCTGTGTGCATGGTGCTCTTTAGATATGTAGTTCCTGGTCTTTTTTTTTTTTTTTTTTTTTTTTTTGTTAAAGATAGGTGGTTCCTGGTTCTGCTCATTCTGATCGTAAAGATGTAAACAGATCTGCGCTTTGTGCATCTAGTGTATTTAAAACTTGTGCGACCGATCAAAGATTCAAAATGTGAGTTGCGCAAAATCGGCATCATCTTTCTTTGTGTTTTTCCCTTTCTTCCGCTCCCCTTTTTCTTTTCTTTTTTTTGGACCATTTCTCAATTTATGCTCGTCCGGATTGGGTTTCTATTAACTTTCTAACAACAGCGACGCCATGATTTCGGTGCTTTGCAGGCTGCAGCAGGGGCGTTCATGTTCTTTTCGGATCTGATTCGGAAGATTACAGTCCCTGTGACGGTAGCATCTGCAGCATTCAGCCGCGCTGGTTACATCGAGCCTTCCAACTAAGAAGACGATGGACACCTCTGTTCTTCTTCGACGGCAGGTCTCGAACTGAATTGGCGCTGCCCTTGTCATGCGCTTGCTGTTGCTTTCTTTACTCAGCCACCAAGGGTTTGTTCTTTCGCTTGCATTTCCCTATCCTTCCTGTATCCAGGTGCTTCCGTGCGCTTCATGTCGTCCTTTTTTTATTTTGTATTTGTGTAGCCCCATCTCCGTCTGACACCGCCCACTATATTTGTGATCTAGCCCCACCCCCACCCTCCACAGCTCATTCCGTTGATAGTGGCGTGTTCTCGAGCAGGAGCTTCAACGTTTCAACTGTTTCCGTTCCTTTCACTTCGAATCGTTGGCTGTCTTCGTCAAGTTAAGAAGTCCGGCATCCCTGGCTGTGTCTTTCAGGGGTCTTGAATTTCTTGGTCGCGGCTTAGGTCCCCTCCGACATGTTGCATTGGCATACAATACTCCCCACTGAAAATCGTTTGCCTTGTCGTCTTTGGGTTCTCGTCCTCTGCCGGCGCCATGCAAGGTGAGGCGTTCCGACTCTCATTGGCTGCCCTCTGTGTCCCTTTTCTCCGCTAGCCGCAGGATTCCCGCCACCTGACGAAACAGCATACCGAAGTTTGACGCTTTTCCTCCCGACATGTCGCATTGGCATGATACTCCCCACTGAAAATTGTTTGCCTCTTTTTGTCTTTGGGTTCTCGCTCTCCGCTGGTGCCATGCGAGGGGTTTTGGACTCTCATTGGGTGCCCTCTGTGTCCCTTTTCTCCGCTAGCCGCAGGATTCCCGCCGCCTGACGAAACAGCATACTGAAGTTTGACGCTTCTCCTCCCGACATGCCGCATTGGCATGATACTCCCCACTGAAAATTGTTTGCCTCTTTGTCTTTGGGTTCTCGCTCTCCGCTGGTGCCATGGGAGGTGTTCCGACTCTCATTGGCTGCCCTCTGTGTCCCTTTTCTCCGCTAGCCGCAGGATTCCCGCCGCCTGACGAAACAGCATACCGAAGTTTGACGCATCTCAACGGAAACGGTTTCAAGATTCGAATCTGTAAATTTGATCCATCCATCTGCTCCTCGTCCTCATTCTTTGCTACCCTCTCATGGTGATGACGGCTCTGTCATCTTCCAACGTCGGTCAGTGTCTGTTTCTCTGCGCTATTGTCCGAATTTTTTCCCTGCTTCCACTTTTTACTCTTTAGCTACAACTGCTGTCCTTAGCCCTCTGTCTTTCTAATGAATTGTCGTTCAGTCCCCGTGGGACCAGTGGGACCAGTGGAACCAGATCTTTGGACGATGGGGTGTCAGAGGTCAGACTCGTGGTCCGATAGAAGTCCCTAGACCTTGTAGGTTGTCTCGTTCGCGGTCGATTTCTCCTTCCCATCATTTTTCATATGTTCTTGTTCGGTGTTTAGTGGTCGTCTAAGTAGTCATCTAAGTAGTCGGTGTGTACACCGAGTTGTTGGTCGCGGAGCAGCTGGCATAGGCGAACGCTAGGGGGTCTTTCTGAACTGAGAGATGAGAGGGCTGCTAGCCTGGCAGGGGGGGGTCATCAGACATCATCTCATGCTTCCGAGGGGAAATCGCAGCTCAAATGTGCAATAGGGGGTCGTTAGGAGGTCCGTAGGGGGCCCTTAAAAGTCCTTTAACCACAAAGAGCAGCAATTCAGGTTGTGTGAGCAACCGGATAGCAGCAGAGATTGTGTGTGTT